CTGGGGAATTCTAGGAGTTGAAGTCCACACATCTTAAAATTGCCAAGGTTGAGAAACACTGCCTTAAAGAAATGAATTTATATTTTTTTAAAAAGCAGAACAAAACAAAATCCCTCCTGCAGAAACACAGTTAAGAGCATGCCAGAAGAAAAATATTTGAATTAGAAAAAAGTCCTGGATTTTAGCCCCAGCGTTCATGATGGGTGGGTGGGGATAATGCCTTCTCTGTTTTGTCTTTCCTTTAATTGCTAACTGTCAGATACACACAATAGCAGGAAGACTTTTAAAGTAAGAAGTAAGATTCTGACTCTGGGCAATTATAGGGAAGATGGAAAAGAGAACAACTTCTTCCCCAAGGGACATATTTCTTAAGGTTTCAAGTGCTGAAATGCAGCATATTTTCTTCATCTTGCAAGATCACAATTGCAGACAAGTTAGATTATACCCAGAGTAGAAATTATTTTGAACCATTTCAGTCTTGCTTTCTTTTATGAAGCATATCCCCACTTCTTCCATCCTACCATCGCAACCTAAGAGTCTGGATTAACAGCACACTTCTCCATGGCTCAGTTCTCTTCAAACATATCAACATGCAGGGAGGACTTTGGTAGAAGCAGGTTCTCTAAGCATCTCCACTTATATAAGGAGCTGTAGAAGGTCTTGACTAAGCTCAAAAAGCTAAGGGGTTGGACCTGGTGAGTATTTCAAAGGAAGACCGCCAAGAAATACAAACTAGACTGGGAAGTCAAGAAAACATCCTGAAGAAGGTAGTGGCAAACTACTTCTTTATTACTACCAAGGAAGCTACATGGAGGTGTCCATTAAGCAATGAGGAGTCAAACTCAACTCGAAGGAGATTTATCTTTCCCAAATAGACTGCAAGAAGACCATTTCCACCACTGAGCTTGACACAGTGGGCCTTCTGAAGGATTCTTCTACTCAGCACTCAATTTGTTGGAGAACGTAGATGTCCCACTCAGAGGAAGCTTTAGCTATAGGCAAAGGTAACTCTTCTACACAATAAATCCAGAAAACAGCTAAAGAATCTCTTAGAAGTCTCTTGCAGATTTAGTGACCCCAAACTGCCTAAACTATTTCAGGGCAAAACTGAATATAGCAAGACTAAACACTGAAATATTTTATCAAAGGAGATTTTATTAGGCAGGGTCAAAGACCCGGTTATGTTTTTCCATAGTTTGTAGAAACGTAGGTATATTTTCACTGTAAAAAACAACTAGGCAAGCTCTTTATGTAGAAAAGGAAAATTAATCCAATCTTTGGGTGGTTAGACTGAATGAGTGTGAGTAGACTGGTCTTCTCCAAGGACATCCCTTTCCTGGAACAGAATGGTGGATGGAGCCAACAGCAGAGAAGTAGGGAGGACGTGGTAGCCTGCTGTCTGGACTGAATACCTTGAAGGATGTTGCTTAAGGGTCTTAGTCCAGACCAGTTTTTCTTAAACTGGTTTAAACTTAAACTGCCAGGGCACAGGACAGGAGCAGCTTAAATGGTTAAGTGCAGATATTTCCTCAATCTCCTATAGAAGGCATATTGTATTAAAGCACCCGCTTCATGCAGAAGGTGAAAAAATCCTAAAAGGAAGATGACTGATTACTGTTGGCTGGCCTTGAGGCCCAGTTAGGTATGGAGGTTTGTCATACAGTTCATTCTTGTGTGGCTGATTTTTTTAAGGAAAAAAATCTACTGCACTGAGAAAAGACAGTGTAATCTTTTGCCCCTGCAGCGATCCTCATGGAGTTAGATCTCACATGCAGCCTTCTTGCAGATCAGTTTTCAAAACCTTAATAAATAAAGGAAACTTCACATTTGCATGTATGTGCTGGAGAACACTTTGTTCAAAGGAAACACTGAATGTAAGAAAGAAATTAAGTTTATTTTGCCTGATGCCACAATCACTATCATTGTACATTGTACAGAGGTGTCATAACTCACGGTGATTCCCGTGCTCTCTTTGGAGCCCTTCTGGATATTATCTGACCCATACATTTTGATGGAGGGAGTTGATTTACACTGAAATATCATGCAACTAGAGATCTCCTTCCTCCACCGAAATGAATGATGTATATCTGCTAAGTGGGATCACTCCATGGGTGTGCTGAAACTTGGCACCTATTGGTAACTATGGAATCAATTCATCCATAGGTAGTGAAATTTGTATTACATGAATGTATAAGCCTCCTTCCGTGCTCATGGTTTGGGTATAGGTTGAACATATGCATTATTTTAAATCTGAGGAATATTTAGTAAAGTTGAAGCACATTGTTTAATGCTTATTCAATTTAAATTTCTTCTACTTTGGTTGGATGAACTAAACCAGATGTCAAGTTTTCAGATTCCCTGTCGGAGACACTGTAATCTGGATGCAAAATGCGGGAAGTTATCTTATTTGCACAGATAATTTATCCTGAATATGGAAAGAAGTTTTGAGGGGGTGACTTAATCTAACATGCATCAATAGCACAGAGTGTTATTCATGTCTCCTTATACACAATGGCTGGCGTTCTAGCTCTCCTTCATCAACACATATTGGATTAATTAAATTATCTACAGTGAAATCAAAGACTTCAAGGAAAGGAGGAGAGAATAACAAACGTTATATATGAAGCAAAATAAGTCTCAAATATTGAGGTATTCTTTCTTGTATTTCTGACTTTGGGGGAATGTTGAGCAGAGTAATTTTGAAGGAATGAACCTAAGGTTGCAATTGGGATGGGGTAGAAAAGAAAGATGGATCCAGGGAAATCATAGTACTATTTTGGGCCTTGCCAGAAGACCGATGGCAACAAATGAAAAATATCCCTAAACAAAAACAAAATTTTGAGTTTGGAGTCTGTAATGAGGAGCACAGGCTGAGCAGAGGACAAGAGGGGTAGCAGGGCATGAGAAGAGAGGAGCCACAGCAGGCTCAGGGTCATTTAATGCTGCAGCAGAGAAATACAGGGCAGGGTGGGAACAAATTAGGAGAGGACTAATAGCATTTTTAATTACCTGGGGGTTTTTAACAGTTGTTTTCAAGTATGAAATTTACCTTACACAGGACTACCATATCTGGGTGGCAAAAATTCAGGGGACCATGAGACCGCCCCAAAGAGTTAGAGTTTTCTGCAGCCCCTAACAGACATCCAGAGTTTGCAGAGATGGTAGCCCTACTTTCAGAATGATTGACCAAGAGCCATGTTCTGCAAATCAGATTACCATCAGTTTACCCGTTTAAATGTATTATGTAGAAGAAGGGAATAAAGGGCTGCAGTTTAAAGATGGTCCCACCAAAACTAAAAATAAAAAGTAGATGAGCAGAAAAATCTTATTTCATGCTATCTGACATATCTGTAAATGTAGCTTGACAGGATTGAAATCAGTATAGAAAGATGTTTACATCTCTCTCTCTTTCTCTTGGTTATTTTTTCTTTCATTGCTATTAGATAGGGGAGATACCATATTCATTCTAGTCAACAGAGCTGGCATCTCATCCAGTTACTAACCAGGACTGACCCTGCTTAGCTTCTGAGATCAACTAAGGCTGGCTAGGTGCTTAGCCTTGTGGAAAAAAGAACGATGTTCTCTTTCACAATCCTCTGGTCTAATTCAGATGTCTTCCCTGTTATTGCTTTTGCTGTTGTTGCTATTGTTGTTATTACTAGTGCAAAAGAAAGAGAGGGAGGGAAAATGAGAGGTTGAGAGAAGCATCCATGCACTTCTGACATCAGACTCAATTCCATCTCTGTTTTAATCATGTAAAGGACTGAAAGGTAACATTGCCATTTTCATAACTCGCAATCCTTTTAAACTTTGCCATTCTGTGGTGGTTGTTAGCATGCTGGGCAGGATTGCGCATCAGAGTGCAAAAGCGAAATCTTAAATCTGGTCTTTATATTTACAGGAATTAAGCATCTAAAAAACCAGAAGGACTTGGCATTTCCAGAGGAAGAGGAAGGCGTCTGTGAAAGAGACGAGGAATAGAACCCTTAATGGCACCAAACGTCTTGGGAAAGAGCCTTGATTGTCAATTATGAAACTGCTAAACATTCAGTACTTACCGTGGAACTTTGTGGCTTATGTTCCTGACCTGAAACAGTCTTCATCGTGGTACCTAGGAAAAGGAAGGTTTTGCAGTGGAATTCATCATCTGCAGAACTGGCCTGGGGTACCGCCTTGGTGAAGATAGCCATTTCTTTTCTTGCCATGTCCTTTTCTTTGTAACGACTTAACCTATATGCCATATATGTAAATATATGGTTTCCAAAGGTGTTGGCTCTCCTGTCTTAAATTCCAAATGTGAGCTGCAGCCTAAAATCAGTTGTAAATAGTGCAGATTTAAATGCTACAAAATAAATATAATGTACATTTAGACTAAATGGTATTTTGTAGAGTCTTTCCAGCCAGCAAGAAAGCCAGGTTGGTGTGATTCCTTACAGATATTCTACAACATTTGGGAAGAATCTGTTTCCTCTTCTTATCCTCCAACCCTGGCTAAAGCAAGAACAGGCTGCTCAGAAACCTCTTCTGGCTTTTGCCTGGGTTAGAGATGTGGAGGAGGGGCTGAGGAGGAGAGCCCAGGGAAGGAAGGAAGCTGCTAGCTTTGCTCTGCTCCTAGGAGCAAGGGGGTCCAGTTACTTGCAGAGCAACTTCCAGAGACGTTGCCTGGGTCAAAATGTCTTGCCTGGGTCAAATTTTCATGGAAACAAAGCCTTTTCAGAATATTTGCACAACTCTGGTGTTTGGATGTGGGCAGGGAAGAAATATTGTTACTCTTTCTTAGTTGCAAAGGGGGGGGGGAGTAAAGACTTCAATAGATTTTAAATTATTTTCACCTTATTTTTATGAGATTCTGGGGCATTTCTGCCTTGGGCTGCAAAAAACCAACCAACCAACCAAAACAGATTAGGGAAATGTAATTGTACAACTTCTAAGGAAAAATTATCACATGATCATAATCCTGGGAAGAGAGAAATTCTTTATCCAAATGGTCTCTTAATCTTTTAGAGATCTCCACGTTTCTTCACATGAGTGGCTGCAGACTGCAATTTACATTAAGTCCTAAACTGGTTAAATTGGTATTTTTCTTATAGATTACTTCAGAGATTTCCCTAATTTGCTCTGAGAACAAATTTCTCTGGTAAAATGCCATTAAGACATACGCAAAGATAACCTGAGCTTGACTCTGTCAAAGAAATGGGCCTCTAGCTTTGTAATTCTCAACTCAGAAAGTAGTGCATGATGTGGTCAGGAGGTTTATGGCAATTATGTGATCTGTAACAAACAGATCATTACACCTTCAAACCTCAGCACATAACATCATCATTGGACCCACTTTCATTTTGAATGTGTGTGATACACACCTTGATCTGTGAATCTAGCAAGAACCATGTTGAAGCCAATAGACCACATCTAGCTATTTTAAAGTGGCATTTTAAATGGGCCTTCAGTTCTTTTGATTTTAGGAGAACTCATTTCCACTTATCCATGGAATTTCCATCCTAAATAAATGACACTTACAGATGAGCAGCATAACAAGGACATTCAGTTGGTGACCTTGTACAGCTACATCCATTATACCTTTCTTTTCTAAATCACTAAGTCTACTTGTGATATAGCTTATGGGGAAGGAATGACAGTTTTGCAAAATATGTGGAACAAAGTGAATAGAGCCACAAGTATTTGAAGAGCCCTCAAAGATACACATTACACTTTATGCAATTGTTCAGTGACTTCCTCTTGGTTCTCATGGGAGGTAGGAGGCTAATGAAATGGTACAAATGAAATAAGCACTGAATCTTCACTTGAGATTAGTTCAGCTATGCTATTCAAGAAAGGAGAGCTCATGTGAACCCTTGTCATGCCATGCCCAAGGTAAATGCATTTTTTGGACAAGAAGCTACAAAATGTCCATGTGGAAGCATGGAGACAATTCTAGGAGGAGAATTGTTAAGGCTCCTGGATTAGCTTATAGTAATAATGAGCTCACATGAAAATCAATGACAATTTGCCCAATGGACAAGGGTAAAGTTGCAAAAGGACAATGGACAAAGGGTAA